CACAGTCGCCGCCGGCTCCGGGTAAGGACCGAGAGACAAAAGGCAGAATCCCGCCTCTTCCTGCGGCTTCCCGCCCGGCCGGCATCTTCCCACGTCCCGGGACCGCTCCCTCCCGCTTTACTCCTCTAATTCCTCTGCCTCGTGACAGGAGGCGGCGGTTTCTACTAGTGACTAGGATTTGGGAAAGGTGACTTCCTCACCCTGCAGGGAGGCCGGACGGCGGGGCTGTCCCGCTGGGAAACAGCCCCCGCCGCCATGCGACGTGCCCTTCCTACCGCGGGCGCCAGTTCTCCTTCAGGAGGGGACACTCCAAGGTCGAGGGGGCTCCAGCACTAGAAAATCGGCCAAGTCGGGGGTTTCCACCACCCCTCCCTTGCCTTATCCTTATAAGTAAACTCGACGTGATTAACTTCCCCAGTGGACAAATAGTCTCTGGCCCGATTTCCAGCTTCTGGGAATCGGCAACCTTCCTGTTCTTAAAGAGCAAAATTTCTCATCTAGACTAAATAAATGACGTTACAAAAACGCCTCATTACCGAAGTGTTTTGCTTTTCCCACCACCGCTGCTGCGGGGGCGGGGGCTGGAGCAAAGTGACCAAGCCGGCCAGAAACGGGGCGCCAAAGGGCCTGGGGTTAAGTTTGTTGATGTCAGAAAAGCCCAGGAACGGCAGTGACAGTCCAGGGTACGCCATACCTGAGCTACAGGCTGATTTATTGTTTTAGATGAAAAGAAAAATAAACAATGGTATCTCTCTCGGGTTCATATTGTAGGCCTACTGATGACCTCTGTGCCAGAAGTGATGATCCCTGACAATTGATATTTGAGAGAGTGGGGAGCTTTTCAAAAAGGGCTGTGCCTAGGGGGTCTCCCTCAGGCCACAGATGCGGGAGCCTTCTTTAGTGCAGAGCTTCTCAGCCTCCACACTACAGACGTTTGGGGTTGGGTAATTCCTAGTTGGGGGGGCCTGTTTTGTGCTTTGTAGGATGCCTCCGCCCACCAGATGCGAGTAGCACCCCTCCCTCCACATTGTAACAATCAAAAAGTCTCCAGACACTGCCACATGCCTTCTCGGGGGAAGGGGACAGAGGGCTTTGGTTGACAGCCACTGCCCTGGTGTATATCTGCATGACAAACTACAGAAGTGGCTTATAATATCATTATTGTTTTATTTTATATTCTGGGGCCAATCCAGGATAAACCCATTATAAGAGCAGCCTTATTCTCTGTCCACCAAGTACTTAGCGAAAACACAGAGTGGTGATTGATATCTCCTGATAGTGTGGCAGGAGTCTGGAAGCATTCCCGCCTGCTGTGAGCTTTGCTAAATATGGGCAGTCCGTATTTTCATGACATCAGCTAATGTCACAGAGGCTTGACTTCTTGGGCTGACAAGGAAATTCTGCCGTTCAGAGTCTACATTCACTTTAGCTCTGCTGCTTACAGTTACTTTTTTTTCTTACATTGGTCTATGTTGTGTTTCTACTGAATGAAGCTATCAGTGAATTTCGCTACCACACTGGTTTTCAGCAAACCATCGTCTGTTCTCTCCTGCTGTTGGGTTCTTGATGCCTCCAGAACCTGACCTGTTTGCTTTCTGACATGTTCATGTTGTCCCTAAATTCCACAACCACATCCTATCATTTGGAGTTGGGCTTGCTTCTGACCTACAAGTATGTCTGCTAGCTGTCCCTCTGTGTATCTGTGTATATTTTACAGTGAGTCTGAGGATAACATACAACATTTGATTTTGACTAAATCTGTATTTGTATTTAATTATCAACATTTTAAAGTATCTTATTTCTCTTTAAACTGTTGTCTCTTTTCGTTATAAATGTTAAGAAATTCTTTCAGTTTATTTGGACAGAGCGGTGCAAAAGAAACAGCATGA